GACGGCACTCTGAGAAGAAGAGATGTTGTTGACATTGTTGTATATTACACAAATGTCAAACTGAGGGAATATTGCGACAAGGACGGAAATCACAACCGCACAGAATTTAGAGACACCAATAATACAGAGATCAATAGATTTTTGGGCCTTCTGTTATTGACATCAGTCTTCAAGTCTAACCAAGAAGCCATGAAGACATCAACGCACTGTTTGCTACTGATGGTGTGGGGAGAGAAATATTTAGAATGGCACGTAGATTTGCTGTACTGCTAATATGCCTACGATTTGATACACGAGAAGAAAGAGCGAATCAAGCTAAAACTTATCCAGCTGCCGCAATTTCCCACATTTTAAAGATATTCAACCAATGTTCTCAAAATTCTTATGTACTAGGTGCTAATACTACAGTCGATGAAATGCTAGTCAGTTTTTGAGGGCGATGTAGGTTTAAAATGTATATACCTAGTAAACCCGAAAAGTATGGAATTAAGATTCAATGTTTAGCAGATGCTCGCACCTACTATGTATACAACACTTATATATACTCTGGAAAAGGATCTGATGCATTAGAGGATTTGACTGCAGAAGAAAAAACTATCTATTCCCTCCCAAGCAGTGGTTCGTCTTTGCAAGCCGATCTTTGGCAGTAATAGAAATGTTACAGGCGACAACTGGTACAGATCAGTGGAACTTGTAGATGTTTTATTTAATAATAATTTAACATATGCTGGCACTATGAAAAGAAATAAGAGAGAAATTTCTAAAGAGTTCCTACTATCTAGATTAAGATCTGTAAACTCAACTGTATACGGATTTACAAAAACTAAAACCATAATCTCTCGAGTGCCAAAGAAAAATAGGGCTGTGCTTTTAATATCCTCGCTACATCACACGAAAGAAGATAATAATCGAAACTGGGTTACCGGAAATAAATGCCTTTTATAACAATACAAGAGCAGGCGTAGATTCAGTAGACGAAAAATGCACAAAATACTCATGCAGTCGAAGAACCAGGCGCTGGCCGATGGCTATATTTTTTAGAATAATTGATATGAGTGCATTAAATCCAAATATTATTTACCAGGCTTGTGCCTGAGATCATAAAAAGCATCAAGCAGAGAAAGCTGGAATATTTCGGACATGTAATGAGAGGTCCCAAATATAGATTGTTACAAAACATCATGCAAGGAAAAATAGCAGGCAAACGCAGTCCAGGACGAAGAAGAACCTCATGGTTGAAGAACTTGCGAGACTGGTATGGTGTAGATACAAGCATGCTATTTAGGGTGGCAGTGAATAAAATTAAAATAGCTATGATGGTAACCAACGTTCTGAAAGGACATGGTACATGAAGAAGAAGAAGGCTTGTGCCAACAGAACAAAATATACAAGATTAGAGTTCTGAAGATTTTGGCACAGCAACTATATGAACCACTTCTTCGAGAACGAGAAATTAATCAACGTCTTCCAAGAGAACTAAGATTCAGCATTCAAAAGGTGCTAAGAATAAATCCAACCGAAAATGACGATTATACAGGAACGCTAGGAAGTACTGCTATTTATGTAACCCAAAATTGAAAAGGAAGACAAGTTTTCTGTGTATACAGTGTAAACAACCGATCTGTTTGCAATGTAGCAAAAAAATATGTTGTGAATGTGTAAATAAGCGTGAAGAAATGTGATCAACTCGCCAATTTTCAGGACTTGCACAATTTTTTTTAGAATAACGTTTTGTATGAAAAATATTATTCTATAATATAGTTTTAAAAATCTGTTTTTGAAAAAAAAAAACATTTTATAAAATAATTTGTTTTTTTATCTACGCAAACGCTGATAGCAGATTTTTCGCTGATTACAAGATTTTATGAAAGTATAATTTTTTTTACCAAGTAAGTAATAAAAGAGTACATTCTAAGTATATGAGACCTGCTATAGCTGTAATTATATTAGATGATTTTTACGATTTATATTTCCAGTATTAATTGTCTGCAGTCAATAATAAGGACACCGGAGGACATTACGTCCTGCATTATTATCAATTATATGCAAATTATCGCCTGCAACAGTAAAGCTTAGAACAGCAACTGGTGAGATAATTAATACATATGGCGAGGCTAATATGTCAGTATCCATTGGCCACACCACAGTGAAACATAAAGTATTAATTGCAGAGATCTCCGACGAGTTCATATTGGGGATGGATTTACTAAGGAAAGTTGTGGCTGTATTGGATGTCAAAGATGGAGTTCTCGAGATCAGTGGTGAAAAGTTGCCGTTTCATGAAGACAAAGAAGATGTTATCAGCTTAATAACTACTTGTGACGAAACGATACCCGGTAACAGTGAGAAAATTTTGATGACCAGACCCGATGGTTACTGCCGAGAGGGAAGTTTAAGAATGGTCAAAGATGTGAACAATACCAAGTTCCTAACGGCAAAAGCTTTGGTGAGAATTAAAGCTGTCGTTCCTGTAAGAGTTATGAATTTAAAGAGAACTGCTATTAAGTTAAGCAAAAAAATTTTGATCGGACAGTGTGTCCCCGTGGCGTCGATTTGTACTATGAATACTAATAACATGGCAAAAACATGGGATTACCGATCAACAACAATACAATATACACTTTGTCATTTGCAGACGACCAACTTGTACTAGCGCAAGACTACGATGATATAGAATATATGACAAGGAAATTAATAGAGGAGTACAAAAAAGGTGGTTTGGAAATAAACATAAAAAAGACCGAATATATGTGTATCGGTGGGACACAGCAGGACCTTACACTGGGGAATGGCGAAATTATTAAACATTGCGACGCATAGAAATACCTGGGTAGGACCATCACACAAGAAGAAAACGTAGACCGGACGATAGAAGAACGAAACAACCAGGGAAGAAAAGCCATTACCCTTCTCAATAGCATACTGTGGGACCAGGCAATATCAAACAACAACAAACATAGAATATACAATACAATTGTTAAGAGTATAATCACTTACAGCAGTGAAGTATGGCAAATAAAAGAAAGATACAAGAGAAAACTTGAAGCAACAGAAATGGAGTTCTGGAGGCGCTCAGCAGGAAAATCAAGATTAGAAAGGGTAACCAACAACAGAATTAGGGAAATAATGAATGTGAAACACACAATAGTAGATGACATTAGTACCAAACAGCTTAGATGGTATGGACACGTACAAAGAATGTCCGAAGAACGACTCCCGAAACAAATCCTAACGTGGACCCCTCATGGTAGACGAAAAAGAGGAAGACCCCGCCTTAGTTGGAGAGAAGGCATAAATCGAAGTATGAGAGAAAGAGAATTAGATGAAGACCTTTGGATGGACCGAAGTGAATGGCGACTAGGCATCGGAAGACGTAGGAGAACGTTTTAAAACCGATATATATATATATATATATATATATATATATATATATATATATATATATATATATATATATATATATATATATATATATATATATATATACTAATAACAAATTATCGAAATCTAAGTATCCAAAGGAGCTTGTTGAGATAATGATTGAAACGTGCCAAGATCTTGATGATGAACGAACTAAAAAAGTGAAGTCTATTCTGATAGAATTTGAAGATGTTTTTGCCACTGATAAGAAGGATAAAGGCAAAACAAGCATAGTAAAGCATACAATTAATACCGGAGATGCTCAGCCAATCAGACAACAACCTAGACGACTTCCATTTGCGAAAAGAGATCAAGCCGAAGAGATCATCAAAGATATGAACAAACAACGGGTAATTGAACCATCAAACAGTCCATGGACATCACCAGTAGTGCTAGTAAAGAAGAAAGATGGTTCAACACGTTTTTGTATTGACTACAGACAGCTCAATGCGGTAACTAAAAAAGAGAGTTATCCTTTGCCCAGAATAGACGATACTTTGGATACACTTTCTGGTTCTCGTTGGTTTCCACACTCGATCTGAAAAGTGGATATTTCAAGTAGACATGGAGCCAGTTGATCGTGAAAAAACCGTATTCTCGATAGGATCATGCCCCGGTTTATGTAATGCCCCGGCCACATTTGAAAGATTAATGGAGGCGGTTTTAAGAGGTCTAACATGGAAAACATGCCTGGTTTATTTGGATGATGTAATTGTAGTTGGAAGATCCTTCGATGAACATACTTACTTAAGATCGTACCTACGATTACATCCTACATAGGTACTTATGTACATATCACCATTGCTGAATATATGAGTCAAATTAGAGTTAGCTGAATATTTTGTATATTTTTATTACAAATTCAAATGAAATCAAAATTTTATTTGCAACTTATACTGTTTATATGCCATCGCTACTATATTTTAAAGCTCTTAATGTATCCCACACATTTAAACTTCATTTAAGATATTTACATTATTTTAAAGTAAAATTTGGCTTATTCCCAATAAAAATAATAAATTCTTTTAAGTTATGACGTAGCATTGCAATTTGCAATGAAAAGTTTAGTATAGTCCGTTTATTTGAAAATTTAATTTAACATTTTATTCTTAATCACGTCTATGATTCATTTTATTGTGTTTAAATTTTGTTAAAAATTGATTCGAATTTTCTAACATTGGCAGTATAATACTTAAGCCAATCCTGTATTGATTTCCTGCATACAATATTATTATTGTATGTAGTACATCATTATAATTGAGTCTGTGATTTATTAATAGCATTAAATCCTTATTTATTTTATAAATCTGACAATAAGTAGAGTTCTGAATGTCAGTTTAGAAATAGATATCTTTTGATACCATATTGTATTACACAAGTCTAATTTTTTTTAACATAAATTTAATATTATAAAAAAGATAAAATTAGAAATATGTAAATAATGTACTGGTTTTACTCCCTTAAATATTACAGAAATCTGTAATTGCGCAACCGCAATAAGTGAAACGGAGCTTCATTTTTTCTCCGCTTTCATTTTTCTGTGCAGCTTTCTAGATGTCGCTATAGCAGAGAATTAGTTTGTCATTTGAACTAATATTTTGTGCTGTCAAAAATAAATCCTAAGGTTTTTAAAAGAATTTAAAAAAATATAAACTACTTAAAATTTACCGATATATTTACGAATGCAAGTTATTAAAATCTTAAACAATTCAGTATAGTGGAGAAGTGCAAAGAGTTGTATTAACGTTATTCATAAAGTTTAGTTCGCGCCTCGACAATAACAGGGAACCGGCAGCCATGTTGTAATTCTTGTCAAGCATCATGGGTTAATAGTTAAGAGTATGCTGGCAATAAATTGCTAAAAAAATTGTTGTGAAAATATGCGAGACAGTAAATTTTGTGTATAAACTTAGCAGCTTTTAAACGGTAGTTAAAGTGAATCGTCTAGTGACCGCGAAAGTAATGTTTCTGCGCATTTTTACGGTCAGAGTGCAATGTCGTGCTAGCTAGCGCAGGGAGTCGTCTACTGCCTGGCCAACGACTGCCAGCTTCCAGCATCCCCAATTGCGGGAGGTGAGTAAACGGACGTCGGGACCGTTGTTCTAACGTCTTGGGGTCGCGTCCGGTGCCGGTTTCAGCGATATGACACGTGCGGAGTAGTAAACAAGGAATTTGGGCAATAATGGCCAACTTTCTAGGCAAGGATCAGGCCACGTACGCGAAGGAACGCGAAGTCTTCCTTCGGGACTTGCAACATTTTCATGAGATTCGAGGGTAAGTTCCATCTGTTCTAATTTTTCCCCAAAAAACAATTTATAACTGTGTTTTTGCGTCATTACAGGACGCCATTCAAGCGGGCCCCTACTCTCGGTGGCAAGGAGGTCGACTTATACCTCCTTTATACCCTGGTAACTTCGCAAGGAGGTTGGCTTAGGGTGAGTAAATTATTCATTCCTCCTTATTTTTATAAAATTTTACTGTGTGTACCGTATAGTTTCAGGACCTACTTATAGCTTACCAACGAGTCGATGTCCTTGATAATTTTAATGATTTTGGGTATATATACAAAATGCCGAATACTTTCTGTCGTAATATAAACAAAGGAATGTATTCCTAATATTCCTTGTATTTTTATTCCGTAAAGCAACGTCAAAAGTTTATTATTTGAAAGTTCGAGCATTTAATCATTATAACAAAACGTGGGATTTGAAGTTTTGTATTCACGCGACATGATTTTTCACTGCTATCCGATCTCACGTGCGGTGTTGCAGCCAGTGAGTTCTAATTAAGACTTTAACAGTTAGGAGTGATAATACACAATGGGTATATCTGTATACTCACCATGCTGCATAGCTACAACTCTCACATGGGAACTTTCTATCGCGGATAATGTTTACTAAAAGAAAAGTGTAGAAAATGCTTTTTATATAATTGTGCTGTTCAGTTACAATATAAATTAAAATGGCGGATGTATTATAACTACTGATATAAAATATATAATATCCCTGTTGTAGTTTTTGTTTTGAAAATGAGATTGATGTATGAGGACAATGATAAAACAATTTTAATTAACAATAAAAGCTAAACATTTAGAAACATACAGCGTGTATACACAAGTTAAATTAAACTTTAAAAACTTTTTGTTAATATTTTTTGGAAACAGTAATTCTTTCATAAGATTTATGTGCTTTTGGTCCGAAAATGCTGTCTTCATAGACCAAGTTATGACTGTTGTATATGTGTCAAACTTGTTAAGGTAAATGTACTAGTAGTTGACATTATAAGAAGAAAATAAACATTATTTATCCTCAAACCCATGTTGTTGAACTTTACTAAAAAATATATGTATATCTAATCTAGTTTATCTAATCCTTCCTGAATATTTAACTTCTAAATATTTTTTATAAAATTTACAAAAATTGTTGCAAAAGTGTCAGTAGTTGACACAACAAAATGAAAAAAAATTAGTAGTTGACACATCCAATGTTTAGTAATTGACACTCAAATGTGTTTTGATAACTTTATTAAGACAATGTAATTAAGAGAACTTTATTAATGTTAATTATAGTATAATAAAATATTTAAATTCAGAAATTTAGCCATCTACATCCACTGAATCTAGAAACTGATACTTTATTCTTTTTTCTGAAATGAATATCTCGAGGTTGTGGCATCCTTTTTCGTTTCAAATGATATATCATCAAGACTGCCACCAGATTCAACCCAAGATAATCACTTGATGATTCTTCCCTTTTGTTACTAACTTTTTTTTCTTCACTTTCGGTTTCTGTTTTTTAACAAAGTTTTTTTCTTCTCGAAGTGACTTGAAACATCTTGACAGAAGTGAATTTTCCTTAAAACTGGGAAAGTCTGATTCTTAATCTGCCACTGGTGTACTGCATCTTTCCAACCACCTTTCAAAGACCAAAATTCAGCAACATCCATTGGCTGAATCAAATGTGTTGCATTCGGATGAAGGGCTACCAATATAATACCATGTTCAGCACAAAATCTACTAGTCTGTAATGTTAAATGGGATGAATTATCCATCACTGAATAGAATTACAGGGCGAGATTTTGCTTAGTGTCAACCACTTATCAAAAATATTTGTAATGAACTAATAAAACCTAATTCTTCAGGAACACTAAGTGAAGTTCTTTTGGAATTGTCTCATATTTAAATATGACCATTGGTGGTGCTAGTTTACCAGCAGCATTACCTGTGATAAGTACTGTTATGCATCCTTTCTCATTAGGATTAATTTGTTTGTAAACAGTCTTGTCACCTTTTCTTGCCAATACTTTGTTTCCTTTGGGGTTAAGTAAAAATGCAGTCTTCTGCATTAAATACTCGATTTGGGTCATTAAGAACCTCCTCATACTTGTTCTCTCTAAATTAATTATACACTTCCCTGAACCATGTTTGAATGGCTTCTTTTGTTACCGCTGACCTTGTAGATGTTAGATTTTAAGCAACTTTGTTACTTATTTCGGGATTTTTTTTAAGAATCCAGTAAACCAGGTTCTTCCTGGCTTGTCATCTTTAAAGGGATTCTGTTTATTCAGTTCCTTCATAAGCACCTGAAACAATTTTTTCTTTGAAATAATATTTAATCTTTTAGTACTTAAACAATGCTCATAAGCTGTTGTTGTATAGGAAAAGTGGCTCTGGATACATCAATAATCCACTTCACGAATATCTTCTCCTGACCTTCCATCAGGTATGGTTTTGTGTCCATTGAAAAGTTCACACAACATTTGACAAAAATTTGGTGGGAATTTTCTGTTTCGAGGTTAAATAACTCTATAGTTACAGAAAAGATGTATCGATAACAGTAGTCAACTATAATGGTAATAATTACATTAAAAATAATCAGAAAAACTTATTATTTATGCTTAAAATGGAAAATGTCAAATACTAGTGCATTTACCTTACAGTGTTTAAAATTTAATAATTAAATTCACAACATACATACACTCTTCAATCTTCCATGTGAATAATAGTGGGGAAATAATATAGTATAAACTGGGAAAATGCAGAATTAAGACTATAATTGAAGCTTTATCTTTCCAATTTGTATTATTATTCATGCAGGTTAATAAAAAATTGAGATGCTAAAATGTTAAAATTATATTAAGTAGGTACCTAATTATATTCACACTATACATATAGGATAAGAAAATAGTACATTTCCAATATTCATTTTTTTCACACTTTCAACACATCTCTTAATATGTTGCTTTGCTTTCCACCATAATATGACATCTAAATTTACTTTTTGTTTTACATGAATTACTTCCTTTCTTTTGCTTATGCTCCTAGGAAAGTTAATTGTAATAGATATTTTTTAACTTTATATAATATCTATGTATTTTTCGATATCATTTGTATTAATATTTTTTAATAGAGGCCACTATTCACAGGTTTATTGTAAATATGAGAGTACCCTTAATAATTTATAATACAAACTATTGTCATTTTAAAATTTTCACAAAATTTCTATTTAATTCTGCCTCTAGTCATTTTAGCTAACAGAGACTTTGTGTAAATGATTTTTCTTCTCGTTTTTTACAAAAAAGAAAAATATTACCAAAGGAATAACAGAAAAGAGAAAATGCTGAAATGATTTCTTAAAAAAAAACCAGTGAACATATACATTCTATTCAAAAGAACTCACATTTTTTAACATACATTTTGGTAATGTGGAATGCCCCCCCCCCTAACCTTACATTTTAGACAAGGGAGGTTTTAGTATGTTATATATTACTTAATTTTTTTAAACCTTCTGAATCAAGTATTCATTATTATATTCTGTTAATAACAATAATTATGTAGAAAAAGGGAGACAATGGAGACTTAAAATAGTATGGGCTGATACTCTTGTAACCAGGTATCCTTGACCTGCTCCCATAAGACTATGTGTTAATTTGTCCTTAAGTTAGGAATACATATTTTATAAACCATTTTCTTGAGGCTATCGAACTTTGCAGTTATTTCTTGAATGATATAATACACAATCTGAACCACCATGAACCACTTAACTTCCTTAATTAATTATTTTAATTAAAAAGAAATTAATTTTTTTCATGTTTTTATGAACATTTTTATTGTTATTTACAATCAACAAATTGTTTAGTCTAATTCTGGTTCAGAATGTTCTTCATATATTCAGGATGTTGTAAAAAAATCAATTTACTATTTTTATTGAGAATAAGCCACAATTTTACTTTAAAATTAAGTTTATTTGACATTTTGATTTCCATTTCGGAAATTGTTCTCAAAATACAAAACATTACTTAATAAATTTAACGAATTTTGTTTTTGTTGTGTGGTAAAAAGTTCTAATAATTTAATTTTATCTGACATTTATCATTCATATTGATATTTCAGAATATTATACATTTTAAAGTAGGTGACTTTAAAATGGTACTTAGTGCCAATTTTTTAGATTTGCGTTCCTGGGATAACTTTATTGTAAGAAATGTAGTTCATTCGATTACATGTAATCCCATTTTAAAAATATCCGTTAGAAAAACCAAAGCATGTGATTTGTCCTTAAAAAGACAACCTCAATAATAATTACATACATAAATAGAATAAATACCTAAATGACAGTTTACAGTTTTCGAAAACTATTCAGAGAGCTAGAAAAAAAGTCTACATCTAAGCCATTTCCAGATTGACACATTCGTCTTATAGGTCTATTTAGACAATAGTTTGTTTGTTGGAATTCTAAGTGAAAAACATTCTTAGATCTTGTGCATTTTTGAGCAACCCTAAGACCTATTCTCTGCAAAATTTGAGGCGAATCTATCATTCCGTGTACAATCTTGAAAAGAAAAACCAAATCTAGCATTAAATGACGATTTTCTAATGTTGGTATAAGTATTAAGTAATTACACTATATCTTCGGAAGAAATCCCTAATTTATAGCCTAATGTTAAGCCTGAAGTTAAAGTTGATTTCATGGAATTGAATGAAATATCCTACAATAAAGTTGTCTACTGTGTATGTCTGAATTGTTATATGAATGAGTCAGGTAACATTAAAAGATTAGAAGATTTTTTTTTACTAAACAAAAATAAAATTTGTTTAATTTATTACTCTAACTAACTAATTACTGTTATGTTTGTATTTTGAGAACAATTTCCACATTGGAAATTGAGACAGCAAATATAATATAATTTTTATAACTGTTTAACATAATTATTTTCTGGAAAGCCTGTATTAAAATAAATTATTATTATAGGCTATTGTCACATGATGGATGATTTATTGATATAATTTTAAGATTTATGCTCTTTAAATTATAATTTAGATACTGATTGGTGCATGTTGGTTTTCTATATACTTTGGTGTCATATACAATATCATAAAACAAACTTAAAAGTTCTACAGAAACTGATAACAAAAATATGTTCTTTCTCTTGGCTT